AGGGAAGGGAAGGGAAGGGAAGAAGGGAAGGGGAGAGTTTCTTTGGCTCCTGTTCTGGGGGCAGCCCATCTCCTTTGTCATGGAACGGTACCCCAGAGAAGTTCAAGAAGACTCCCTCCTGCTCCATCCAGAAACCAGCATCCTGTGTGGAAGTTCACACTAGCCCTTTTGATGACCACTCCGTGTGTTTGGAGAATGTTTAAGATACCCACACATTTTTATGTGATGTGCACATTTAGCTATTTTAACACTGACCATTTCAACCCCATCATTTCGAAGCTGCTAACACCAGAGCCCGTGGGGGTGAAATGGTGACATCTGGTAGCTTTGTGATGAAAGTCAGGAGGTGTTCACAGAGCAAGGATGTTCTGGCTCTATTTTAGACCCTCCCCACCTCACTCTATAACCTTGCACCTAAAAATTCCATCGCTTGATCCAACCAGTGTCAGCTCTGTGAGGTAAAGAAGTGCCTCCCGTGGGCTGGAAATGAACTCGGTGACAGATGACACGCAACAGAGGTCATCACTAACTCCATGGGAAACACACAGGCAGCGTTTTATGTTCTTCACTTCCTACAGGGAAAACCCTCACCCTGGCAAGGACCATGGACATTCCTCGGGCAGCTCAGAACTTCCGGTTCTTTGCTTCCTCCATCTTGCACCACACGACAGAGTGCACGCAAATGGACCACCTGAGCTGTATGCACTACACTGTTCGCACCCCGGTGGGAATCGGTATGTGTTGTCCCAGGAAAACAGTATTAAAATGTTCAGAAAATTCTGGATTTAAGTGTTTCTAGGGACAGACTAAGGAAATGTAAGGGTTGGGTTTTCCCCTTTTGCTGAAAATTCACTGGCTTTAAAAATTATTTCTAGTTCATTCTCCTTGTATCCAGTTCTCTGCCTTTTCCAGAAACGTTGTCTTGGAAGATCACAGGGAAAGGGGGTGATGCCAGGAGCTCCTTATTGCTTATAATTACAATAAGAAAATCATAAATCCAGGCAGTGTCATGTTTGAACTGCAGGATTGCATCTTTTTCAAGCTTCAGTATTCTGAAAAGCTGGGACAATTGTTCACTTGTCTTTTTCTCGTTATAGGATTCAGTGATATAAGAAAATTGAGTCAATTAATAAGTCTATAGTGCAGCTGGCTGTGCTGGCTCTTTCCTAGCACTTGGACAACAGAGGCAGGGGGTGGTCAGAGAAAGTACAACATTGGGGAACTGAAGAGATGGCTCAGTGGTTAAGAGCACTGGCTATCCTTTTAGAGGACCTGGGTTCAATTCCCAGCACCCACATGGCAGCTGTCATTCAGATATATAAGCAGGCAAAATACCAATGCATATAAATAAATCCCTTTAAGGAAAAGAAAAAAAAAAGAATGTTTTTCAAAAAAAAAAAAAAAAGAAGAAGTAGAAGGTTATCCTTGGTTACACAATGAGTATGGGGTTAGTCTGGACAAGACCTTGTCTTTTAAAAAACACAATAAATAAATGAGTATATGCTCCTTCAAGTAATGCCAGGTGTCTGGTGAGTAAGAGTTAACCTTTTTGTCTCTTGACCTTTGATTATTATGTTAGTGTCTGAAATGACTAAATATAGTCAGTAGATGTCACTGTTTCCCTTGAGAAGAAATACCATGTTTTACCAGCTACAAATATTAGGACAACAAAAAGAAAGCAAATGAAGTATTTCACTGTCTTGAGTCCCAGAACCCTCTTGAAATCATTTCCCAAGGCATTGTAGGAAGCTGTAATCTCCTTTTAAGAAGCATATGAATAAATTTTGTTGCAAACACATTCTGTTACTCTTAAAGAACAGATATTTCTATGAGAAATTTAGTACTATAAAATATACTTACTTCCACAGGACAAAGTATAAAGTAAAATGAATTTTTTTTTAGTTTTTTTTTTTCAAGAAAGAGTTTCTCTGTGTATCACTGCCTGTCCTGGAACTAGCTCTATAGACCAGGCTGGCCTTGAACTCACAGCATTTTTTAATCATAAAGGAGACCTTATATCTATGCAGGCTGTGGATGGAAACTGGACAGTTTAAGAGTAGTATATATAGATACATTCAGTCATGCCCCACAGTGGCTCAAGATGTGAATGGTACCTAATGTACAAAAAATTTATAAATTACTTAAAATATCTTGAGATTCCTTGGGCCATTTTTAAAGTTAACCAATTGCATGGTTCTTGATGACAACATGGTAGATGACAACATTGTGTTGTAAAGCCCTAAGATGGGACTGGATGTACCTGCTAGAAGTGAGGTGTGTTGTTATCCAGCAAACCTACATGGTCAGAATACAGTTGAAAGGGTAGACAGAATTTGATATTAAGAGCATCTATGTTGCCAGGGTAGATCTCACAGTTTGTATGTCAGAGTCCACTGGCATAATTGTTTCCTAGAGGAACATTCAGGGTCATTTTGTGCCTGCTGCACACATAATTCAGCAAAGCCTTAGTTTTAACATCTTGGTGACAGCAGGTTAGAGACAGAGGTGGGATGCCTTATAGCAACCTCACTGCTTAGTACCGCACTGGGATAAGGCTTCCTTTAAAAAAGATTAGCTGGGCAGTGGTGGTGCACACCTTTAATCCTAACACTTGGGAGGCAGACACAGGTGGATCTCTGTGAGCTCAAGGCCAGCCTGGTCTACAAAGCGAGTTCCAGGACAGCCAGGACTGTTAAACAGAGAAACCCTGTCTCGAAAAACCAATAAAGTAAAATAAAAAGTAAAGATCAGTCTACAGATTTCAATATGCATTCTGTTCAAAGCATATTGACAAATTGTCGACAGCCTTTATCTCTGGAGTTTGTATTGTTGTGGTTCCTAATTATAATCGCGGCTCACCAGGAGGATGGTAAATGTATTGACTTTGCTGTTGGAAAGAGAAAATGGTAATATTTTAGAATAACTTTCCTGAAGCTGGACATCAATACATGAAGTTTGGGTTTTCTGTGTAGCAAAGAATTCTGTTAGAGCCACCACCCAGCTGGTCTGTGTCTGAGGAACTGTCGTCATGGCTCTGCTTCTGTTCTTGTCCCTCAGCTGGCTTGATCAGCCCTTGGAATTTGCCACTCTACCTGCTGACCTGGAAGATAGCTCCGGCCATTGCTGCTGGGAATACTGTGATAGCCAAGCCCAGTGAGCTGACGTCTGTGACTGCGTGGATGTTGTGTAAACTCTTGGACAAAGCAGGTAACAGGGTGTGGGGACAGGGAGGAGGTACAGAGCTAGAACAAAACTGCCAGAGGCCACCTTCACTCAGCACTGACTCAGTGCTGTCTTTTCATTTTGTGAGCTTGATACTTTCTGACCATGCCTTCATCCACAGCGGTTCTCTACTGTGCCTTCCTTCCCTCTTTAACTCCAGCAGGGTGTCTTTGGACAATAGTGTCACTCCATGGGGTGAAGGCTGTGTAGTAAATACTGCAGGCTTTGAGAGACCTGATAACATCAAAGATATAACTCTTTCCAGTTATTATCATCAGCAGTCACTTAAAATTTAAGTTTGAGCTACTAGTCAGTCTTGGAAGTTGGCTATTACTGCAGTTTGTGTAGCTGAACAGTGCCTAGTAGATTCAGACATTTTTTTTGGGGGGGGCGATTCAAGACAGGGTTTCTCTGTGGCTTTGGAGGCTGTCCTGGTACTAGCTCTTGTAGACCAGGCTGGTCTTAAATTCACAGAGACCTTCCTGCCTCTGCCTCCCGAGTGCTGGGATTAAAAGTGTGCCCCACCACCACCCAGTGATTCAGCCATTTTCAAGGGATTTAATACACAACCCTCAGCTTCCCTGTATTTGGGACAGAAGTGGATAGCCTGTGGCCTCTTTTCAACATCCACCCATTTGTTCCTCATTCTCTTTCAGCTAAGTTTAATGTCAACACTTAAGCTGCCTTCCTGGCTCCATTTGGGATATAATTCTGCATGGACATTGTTCTGGTATTTGGATCCCAGCAAGTAACCTTTGAAAAGACTTTCTGTTAGGGTCCTCATCTTGTGAACCCCTACAGCTAGGATGGGAATGGTGATAGGGTGGTGGGGACAGATTTATCACACTCTGTGTGATGTGCTTACTGCCTTTTGGCATGGAGAAGTCACAGTAGTGCTCTCCTGACTCCATAGAATGGACTGCAGGTAGAAGTCTTTTTTTCCCTCCCTCCCTCCCT